GAGCCCGTATGCAAGTGAGCAGATGTGTGTGCACTGACCCATGAAGCCAGATGAGGGAGGATTGGGCTGGATGGTCTCCTGAGTGTTACCCTGTATCACATCCCAGAGTTGCCAAATGTAGCTGGGGTGAAGGATGTAGAAGGGCTGGCCAGGATGGAGCTTGCGGTGCTCCACATATGGACCAAACAGGTTGTAGTCTGGACTCTCATACCACTGGCAAGAAAGAGAGAGGGGAATAATAACTGCAGTGAATAACTGTGACTGTCTTTAAATGAAGAAGCAATTACTGCACATGCACTATATAACACATTTAATGCATACATCCATAGGGGATGAGGGGTCACTGAATGGTTTGACGAGTATGAAAATTATTTAAATCATATGCTGTGGCCTTCACAGTCACCAGACTTCAACCCAGCTGAACACCTATGGGAGACTTTGGACCGACGTGTTAGACAGCATCTCCACCACCATCATCAATACACCAGATGAGGGAATATGAATGGTGTTCATCCCTCCAGTAGAGTTCAGAGACTTGTAAAATCAGTGCCAAGGAGCACTGAAGCTGTTCTGGTGGCACATGATGACTCAACACCTTACTAAGACACTTTATGGTGGGTTTTCCTTTAATTTGTCACTTGGCTGTACATTTAAATTCATGTACAACCAAGATCCATACCACCTTTTAACCATTTGCCTATGAAACAGAAACAATGATGATAGAGAAGATGTGAAAAAGTGAAGCATATTAAATCACATTAAGTGAGAGCAGCAAGGCCACCAGACAGACTGACCACAAGGCATAATAGGCTGCAGGAAACTACACCCCAGCAACAACAAACTCCAGTCAGCATTTTCACAGGCTGATGACTGGTGTCAGTGATGCACATGTGCTCTATAAATATCCCAACACTCTCTTCAGCTTTAGCTTGTCTGTTGGTGAGTAACATGAAGCATAATAAAGCTACATAACAATGTACTGAATGCACTTGTGTTCATAATAAGAACATGCTTTTGGAAATATAAGCACACATGAATCAGTCATTTCAAGGTGGATATCAGACTGAGGGAGCAGAGACCAAATGTAAGAGAGAGGGGAACGTCAAGGGACGGACTGCACTGATGTTGTGTGTTCCCTATGACAAAGTGACAAATTAGTGAACCATTCCCATGTGCTGTCTTGGATACATACACACAAACACAGACATACTCTGACTTTAGTGACACAATAAGAACATCTTCTATTGAAACTTCTCAGACAAAAATGCAGTGAGCCACAGACAGCCTAATAAACTGGTTGTGTGGTTTATATTTTTTAATATGTTGTATGGATGTCATCTTGGCCAGGTCACCCTTGAAAAAGAGATCTTGATCTCAATGCGACATCCTGGTAAAATAAAGGTTAAATAAATAAATAAACAACAACAACAACAACAACAAAAACATACCTTCTGTAAGTTTACAGTGTAAGGTGCAGGGTCCCAGGCCACCAGAGTCACATTCTTGTAGATAGAGCTTGTGTTGAAATGATGATTAGGATTGGCCAAAATCTGCAGAGGGAGATATACATAAATTAAAGTCAAATCTGACTACTGAGCCAAATGATGTCTTGCAGGATCAAGGCCAGACTCCCCGGGTTATTTAGCTCAGCATAATGATGAGATAGGCCAGCATCTCCAAATCTCATTAAGACATTTGATCTTGTTTGTTTAATCCCTGCAAAACCTGAACTTTAAAAACAACAACTGGCTTTACATGAGGTTACAGTTCATGCCGGACCATTTCTTGGCCAGAAACAAACTTTCTGGAGTTGCTGCAGCCATAATGGTGCCATCCAATCAATGGAGACTCCGGAAAGTTACTGTCTAACACTAAACCTCCACTAAGTGTATACAGTTGCAAGAAAAAGTAATGTAATTACTTAATTGATTAATGTATTTGTTTGCAATTTTCTGGTTTTCTACATACATTTGTTATGAAATGTGATCTGATCTTCAATAAAGGCATGAATGATCATGACTGCTTGTGTTTTATCAGCTTAGAAATATTGTGTTTGCTCATATTTGTGACTTTAGTGAAGATCAGATGACATTTCATGACCATTTTATGGAGGAAACCAGGAAATTGCAAACAGTGCCATCATTTTTTCTTTCAACTATAGATTATTTTTAAAACATATCTTGTTTGCTTAAAGATATAGGTGCTGGTAGGTACATTTTAGGCTGTTATCTTTGGACAGAGCAAGGCTGGCTGTTCCCTTCTGCTTCCTTTGGCTGAGCTAATCTACATAACTGGCTGCAGCTTGTAGCTTGAATCTGCATTAATGGCTTTATTTGCTCTAAAACTTCAACTTGCATTAAAAGATTTTTTTTGTACACAAGGTGTAAACACCACACTGATATATTATCACCTTTTAATGTGTTAAAAAACTGTTTCCTATTTACACATTCAGCAGATACTGAGCAACATTATCATTCATGTGGCATTTCTGTCCTCCTGTATGTAAGCTCAGTATTCACCTCCTAATGGGAATATGCGATTTATTAGCTGCTCCACTATGTTTAGCAGATAGTTCGTGATTTTGTCGTCTGCATTTGGGTGCCGGGGAGTAGCTGGTTTATCAGAGTTCATTAGCTCTTCCTTAATGGCACTCCTGAGAACAGCGAAACTGAACCAAAACCTTAAAGCTGTGAAATGTATGTGTTTCATTGAGTCACACATCTATACATCACTGATTCATTAATATACATGGTATAAGACTGGACTCTGACTTGCCTGAGAGTTGATGATGCGGATAGTGGTTTTGTTCCCCACATCTCTCTCATATCCCTCTGTAGGTGCAGCGTTGAACCGTAAAACTGCATCATGCATGTCTGAAAGGCAAACAGGCCACGTCACTTGAAGCAGCTAGTGAATGACCTTGACTTATACATGTTACTATGACAGGAACATATAAATGCTATGAATGGGTATTGCATTTTTTAATATTTCCTAATAAAGATGGCTGAGTTTCAGTATAATACCGAAATTATGTCCCCTCACTTCTTTGGTGAGGTTTTTGTTTCTCCACAAAACCCTTTCTACAGACTAGTTATTTAACTGGCATTAGAATACTGGGGTTTGACATTGAGTTCTTCAAATACATGCAAACTCAGACAAACATGTCAACATCTAATTCAAATATTTGCAAATTAGAGGTTTCGAATTTACCACAGCTTGTCGAGGTCAGGTGTAGTGGTTGTCTTTTACAGCTACAGTACTCTTCTTGTTTTTTTGGGGGGACTCTGTGACTTACTGAACTTTATGCACATGGCTGTTTGCAAATTATTGGCTTCCAACTCATGCTCAGACATACACAGTACCTTTTTGTAGACAGATCAATGGCCCAGCACCATCAACGTGTTCTGAAAGTCACTATGACAACGCACTGACTGCAGTGATGTGCATTATGATCACACAGATCATTAATGTCTGGCAGGCCTAGTGTAACTAAAGTGCCCTCTAGTGGTCGGGTTGGGTAACTGATCAGCCACCACTAACATAAGGAGCTTTACTTGCAAAACATTAGTTTCACAAAGTAACTCTGTATCTTAAGTCCACACTTGGTTTGTTTTATTCAAGTGGCATCCTTTACAGTTCACACACCAACATGAAATCCTCCGGCTTGATGGATAGTTGGAGTAATAATCACGAATGTGTAACGTCTGCCTGTCTGTTGATCGATCGTCAGCTCCAGCGACCCACTTTCTGACACCAGAATGGATGACCCTCTGTCACACACACACACACACACACACACACACACACACACGTTCATATGGCTGAGTTTGCACTCATCTTCAGATATAATGCCGACATCATGTCTGTTCCCAGAGCTACCAGACTCCTGGATTTTCAAAACAGTTTTCTAAAGAACCTGTTTCTGATAATAAAGCCAAACAGTCTGAGGCAGAAACTCCACCTTCAAAATAATAAACATTTTGTGGAAATTAGTTTTTCTAATGCCCTTTTATGTTTTAATAATCTTATTTTCAAATTTGTATTTACTTAATTTGTGTATATTGTGTTATTTGTCTTATTATAATATCAATTTCTTTTTATTTTTGATTTAATTTACTTTGTGTTTACAGTATTACTTAATTTTATTTTATTTTTCATTTATTTTCACAATAATGTTTTATTATTAATTTTATTTTTTTAAATACTTTTTGTTTTTAACCTTTCAGGGCATTTTGGTTTTTTGTTTTCTTGATATTTGATTACTATTGAGCGTCTGGAGGCAAGCCTGCTTTACAAATGTGTTTTGCAGCTCTAATTGGGAGCCTACACTTATTTGCACATACAGTATTTAAACCTTTGGCTAATTGGACCTTTTATGCATTTGATCCTTATATATCTGTATATTTTATACAAGTTAGATGCTTGCAAGAAATGAATGTGTTGTTTACTCACTTAGAATTTTGATTTTTCTTGTTAAAGAATATTTTGTGTTACTGGATAAGTATTACAATAGTTTAACAGAACAACTTGCACTATTAAGTCTACCCGTAATGACGGACCTGGCTCAGATCTCGCTTGGTGGACATAATGGTGATTTTAAATCGTGTCTGACTGTGACCCCTTAAAATGAAGCGATGCTTCACTTGTGATGTCCTTTTCAATAATAACATGGCAAACACTTTAATCAAAAAGTTAAACATTTTCTCTGCTCCGTTTTCTTTTCAGAAAAGCCACAAAGGTGTAAAAACGTGAAGTTCTTCACATCAGAGAGAAGTTCCAAAAATACATCCATGTATAATTAGTAAAAAGTAAATGTACCAGTTATCTCTGAGCATTTCACAATTTAAAATTATGACATGACCCCAAGCTTGAGAAGTGGCCTTAATTCATCCCATGTAATTGTTCTGAAAGTAAAGGAGTTTCGAATACATTTTGTTATCATTTCAAATCAATCCTTCCCAAACTAAAAATCATTTACCCAAACCTCCACCAGTTAAATATCCAACCAATTTAACACGTTCACTTTTAAAGAATAGAACGGTTCAAGTCAAGGATTTAAAACATGATTTTACAGACAAGTTTAATGGGAGCAGTCCAATGGTGTTAATGGACATTCTTAAATATGTTTAGCAGCATCCAGTGGCAATATCATCTGGCAAGATATTCTGCATTACTAGTTTATTAGGTGCAGTATATGTACAAGAGCCCACAGCTGCTCTGTTGATGCGCTTTGTTTATGTTTGACTTAATCTGTTCATTATGAGCACATTGTATAGTTTGTAACCAGCAGCGCTGTGACTGAGATGCAGCCTGGTTTGATACACTGGGACTTCTAACAAGTCTCACTTTGTTTTAAAAATATAATAGATACGCTGACTGTTGGACCGGCTCTACAGCTGACATACAGTACTGCTGGCAGCCATTTTAAAGCTTTATGTCTGTCACAGAGTGGTTGTCACATTTTTAAAAATGTGGCAGTAAATTAAGTGAAAAGGATTCTTTAAGTCACATTTGTCATCTACAAAACTTTGGTTACTTACTGGGTTCAAACATCTTTGTTTTTTATAAGGTATCTTAGCATGAAATGTTAACATTTTCCACATGTTCTGGTTTTACATTTTGTTAAGTTTTTAACTTATTTACAGTAATTTTACATTGTTTTTTTAAGGTTTTGATAGTATTTTCTGAAATACTGTAAGCTGGCAATAGGGCTACTTTTATATTTATATATTGAGAACATAAAGCCAACTTTTGCAGAAGAACTACAGGAACAAAGACAGACAAGAGTCAGAGGCTTCACCAACACACTGAGGGATCCTTAACAGTATCACAAACTATGATCTCAAATATAACTGTAAAGTTGAGTCAAAACCTCTGAGACAGTCCCAGAAATAATAACATTACAAGCTCCACATAAAGACTATGTGTTATGTTGTACTGGGGATGCTGCTCATTCTGCTAACCACATGATGGCAGCCACACAACATCTCACAACCTCTGCTACAAAGCTCTCCCACTGTGAAATCGGTGCTGCAGTCACTGAGAAACCTGGTCATCTAAATGTCAGTTGACCTGCAAGTGACACAGAAAAGACCTACGACTCTCACATTCAGTCTTAGATAATTTGCCGCCATTCACAGCTGCATAATGCGAGTTGTGGGGACGTACAGCAGTGCAGATAAGTGCGGTTTGATTTCCTGTTGAAAATAAGCCTAAGAATTGATGTAGCATGGTCAGGCTTCTCCATTTACTGAGTCTACTCAATAATTAATTAGCTTTGTTACATTTCATCAATTCACTTAGTCTCCCATCAAGACAAATCTCCTGGTTAAGAACTGATAACCATGATGATGACATACAGAAACAATGCTTCTGTTTGACCTAGAAATATATGACAAATGGTCATGAGTAACAATGTTATTACTTTTTTCTATTATTAGGTTTTCATACCAACTCTGGAGCCTGAGTTTCAGATTACATGCAAGTTGTTTTTACAAGGTATCTATGTTCATAAGTAAAGACTGCTTGCTTGTTTCAAAACCAGGAAATTAAAGTATGATGCCAGATCCTCTGTGAGTACATATGGGTGACATAATTGGACAGAAACTAAAAACAAACATGGGAGATGATAATACATCCACAGAGATTTAGAAGCCCTGCTGAGTTTAAAGCCAAGACCACATGCCCAACACTCTTTTTTTTAATTTGTTACTTAAAATAGAGAGTACTCAGTTACTTGGTTGCAGCAAGTCTGTTTACAAAGACAGCTTTTTAAATAAATCTGATCTTATAAGGCTCAGGTTTCTCTCTCAGTAAAGGAAACTTACTAGCAGTGATTGGAGGCAACATGCTGGAAGACCGCAGTGCTGATGTTTTCACTGAGACAGCACCACAGGTTAACTCTGTGACTACAGGGTCAAGGGCAGATTCAGATTTGCATCACTTGTTAGCATCCCATTTTCTGTAAATGTTGTTTGGTCTGCTTTTCTTTCTTATTAACCCTATCAGAACGCAGACATTTATAATTATAAAAAAGCTTAATCCCTCATTATTAACCCTCAGCTGAATTCATGAGAAAATGCATGTGATGTGAAGAAGCCTGATTGGTTACCAGAGGGGTTCTGCTTTTTTCTAGTGAGCCATCTGTTAATGGGTTCACACTCTCTACACTAACCAAGTAGCTGCCAATGTCTCGAAACCAAGAGCACATACACATGCAAATGCAAAGACATATAGCCTACTAGGTGCACATTCAAACCTGCTTACACCCTGCCTAACAAGTCAATCAGCAAATGCCCCCCCTCCCCAAAAAAACTCGAGGGAGTACAGATTAATGTAGGAGCAAATTAATATTTGTTGATGTGTATAATCCAAAATCCTAATGGGCCAATGTTCTCAAAGCATAAGAGATCAAGCTATTTGTTTCGATGGTTTTGTTACATGTATGGCAGCCTGTTAATTGGTTTGTTTGATTTAACTGGAGCCGAATCTTAGCAACCTCATATCTGTACTTTTCAGGTGCAGCTCTTCTACACTAAAGTGAAACAATATGTAGCGTGTAGTAAAATATTATGTAAAGAGAAAACATTCTGGCTCCTGACCCACAGAAAGAGTTTGAATTTGAAACAGAGTGAAAGTACAGAATTTGCATGAAGGCAAATTAAGGCTGTTGTTTCTAACAGCTGCATGTCTTAAATAAAAAGACAGGATAATATATAATATTCTTTCTCTATTGGTCACTTTAATTTAAAATGACATTATATTTAGTGATGAAAACATAACAGCTTTTCCCAAAACAAAAAGGTCTCAATGACTAATTGTCAGGCTTGCATTAAATTTATTCATCTCTGCAACTTAAATCCAAATGCTTTTTAATACTAGTTGAGTTTTCTTTTAGTGCCATTAACAGGCCAAAATTGTACCCAAGAAATATCAAGATCTAACTGACAGATTGCCAGGAAAACCACTGAGAACATTCCTTCTCACTTTCTTTTTTGGATACTAAGTTTTCCCACTTGCACTACCCAGGGGGCTACATCTCAAATTTACACAGCTGATACCTCATAATTTAACATGCAGATTGTCAAGAACTTTGAGAATTTACAGTATAATGCGAGTGAACACTGCCACCTCAACAGAAGAGTCTTTCATCGTTTAGCTCAAGACAAGGTCTGCACACTGACTGCATTTTAAGGGATCCTGACCTGTCAAATTTTATTTCTGGCTACAGTCTGTTTGCCCACATTATATCATCTGTCGACTGTAAAACTGGATCTTCTAGCATCCTAGTGTCAGTAACCCTGATATGAAACTTATATTTTTTTCAAAAACTTACTTTGAAGAATGTAAAAATACTTTTCTCTTAGCAAAATGATGAACTGAATCAATAAGCAAACAAGGGTACAAATCTGAGTAAACAAGCAGTGCCAAAATAGTTTTCAGTACTTGCTGTAAAGAAAGACATCAGTGAATAGCAAAAAGCTCTTAAAGTCTTAGTCGACTACTGTGTTTCTGCAGAGACTACACAAACACTCCGATTCTTCTACTCACCAATCTCTTTGCCCAGTCCTGAATGCAAGATGGCACCAGCCGAGGTGACTACCGCACAGGTCTTGAAGCTGCTCCCGTCCTGCTGCCTGTATAACTCTTCCAGAGGAAGGGGTGGCACAAGACGAGCCCAGCCAAGTGAGGAGAAGGGCTGCTCCCACCCGTCCACTGTCCGCAGCCGGGCCTGGGCTTTCATTTGACACAGCAGTTCCTTGGCACTCAGGGCAGCCCTGTGACGCCTCTTATAGGAAACATGGTGTTTGTTGGCATACATGTAGTTCTTCATGGCGCGCTGCAGCCGAGGACTCAACATGTCGGCGGACACATGACCCCGCCACAGCCGCTGTATCACAGACGCTGACTTGGAGAAGTAATATTCCTGATCCAGATTAGAGGAGTCACCACCCGCCCTCCTCTCTGCTGCATTCCCCATTCTGTTTCCTAGTTCATCTTCATCTTCTTCTTCTTCCCCACCACGATTATGTGCATCGCCCACTTGGTTCTGATACTCTGTGACCTGAAACGTTCTCTCACGACTTTGGACTGCAGGGTCTGAATGAGAACCCACGTTCTCTGCGCCAAAGGATGACCAGGTGGCCAGGCTCTGGGAATCCAGGAAGTCCTGGTGGGTGACTTCCTGGCTACCATAAATGGCATAGGGAGCACTGCTGGGACTGTGGCTCACCTCAAGGCTAGACTCTGGGGTCATGGACCTGGCAGAAGGCTCAGGCTCATCTCTTGGGTAAGTTGTAGTTAATATTAAAGCCGGTTCAGATCGAGAGCCTGTCTGGGCATGCTGCTGATGGGAGGCTTGTATGGAGGTCAAGCGACGGGTGTCAGGGTGCTGGAAGATTAGAGAGCCAGCCAAGGTCAGGGACTCATCCACACGAGCATCCAGGAAGTAAGAGAGGAGGGCAAGGAAGAGGAGAACCCAGGCTAACATTCCCACCAGCACCAGCCTCCGCCACTGCCTCATACTGGACTTCATTACTTCTCACTCTCATAAATGCCTGTTTAGCCTGCCCACCAACAACAAAGCCCCACGGTCAGGACTTAGCCAGAGGTCAGCTGGACCTGTAAAAAAAAAGACAACTGGATTAAACTGCTCAAGAGAAGAAGAAAAGATGCGATTCCTGCAGCAAAGGTTTGAAACACTCACCTGAACTTCTATTCTCTCATGTCCATGTGTCTGCCACAATGAGCCAGTACCCTGAGAAGAGGAGTGCTACAAATTAGTAGAGTCATGAGTGCACAAGCATGCATGAGGCTGTATGCGTGCTCACACAGATGCACTACAGGAAAACAGCTCCTGCAGGGCAAACTTTGGCTGCTTTCCACTCATAACATAAAAGGAGGGTTTTTTCTAAACTAGGCCCCTTTAGTAACTGGAATCAAATTTACAGTTTCCTTCATGTAATATTCAACACAATAAGAACTAAAGACTGCTCCACATCAAATGGGCTTTCAACAGATACACACAAAAAACTAAAAATCACACAAATCATTTGAAGATCACCAAATTAATAAATAACTATCCTGCTTCACTGAGATGCACTGTGATTACGGCAACTTCTTAGATTCAGCAACTCGTGTGTTCAATGTGACAGTATTGTTTAACTGGTGTGCCACAGTTATTTAAAACAAAAACCGCCATCATTCTCAGCCTGATTTATTTTTGCTGCAGTTTTGATAATACTCCGGTGGTTTACTTATGTGTTACAGCGTGAAATGCACAGCAATGAAGGTGAATAAATGAAGCATTAAATTGCCTCACATCTGAGGACTACAATCCTCTCAACCGCACGTAATTATGAATCTTTGTCTATTAGTGTGGCAGCACTTCTCTCAAGAGAGTGGTAGAGTGAGGCAGGAGGAAAAAGCTCCCAAGCCTCTTCTGCTAATTACAGCTTCCTGTGTCTGTAGCTGCCGGGTGAGCTCAGGCGCCCCCCTGGTATCCCCCTCCCCATACGCCCCCAACATCCGGGCCTCCTGCCCTGGGGCCACACAGAAGGCCAAAGCTCATCCACTGACCCAAGTCAAGCAGGAGGAAAACAGCACGGAGTAACTGGGCCAGAGGGAGCAGAGACAGTATGGGAGAAAGAAAATACTGCATGGAAACTGATGCAAGAAAACACACATCTGCACCAATACACACAACCCGATTATACTTTCTCTAAATTTGCAGGATGTTCCACCTTAGGTCTTAAGCCCATAGACAGGTGGGATTGATGTCAGGCAGAAGTCCCCTTGTGTAGCAGTGACTACATATCTACCACATCATTTAACACTTGGAAACAACAGCAGGCCGAGCACACAAACAACAAAGAAAACAAGCAGGAATACACAAAGCTGTCCAATGGAAATGTCAACAAGCAAACACCATCTATATGCACCACTGCTCCATAGAAGCCCACTGTGTCTGTGTGTGTGCCCCGAGGCATGTCGTGCATGCATGTGTGAGCACTCTGAGCATGCTTCACCTGGCAGCAATCAGGATGTGTGCTTCAAAAACTGCAGTGAAACAACAAAAATGTGTGGCACAGATGGAGAGGCGGGGGTGGAGGACAGAGCTAGTCTTGTGAGGGCTACACAAAGAAGCAGTACAAAAAACGGGAAACGAGGCGCATGGGAACCAGCGAAGAATGGCTCAATGACTTGGTGAGAGTTAGGAGGAGGCACTGATAAAGAAGCCTAATAGAACGTAGAGCACAGATCCGTAAAGAGCAAAACCTCAGTCCACTGTGAATACCAACAAATCCTCCAACCGACACCACCCATATGATGATTTGTCCCTTCCCTCTCATACGACCCACAAGGACATACAAATGGCGCTCCTACAGTCACAGGAGGAGTTGCAACAATCCCACGAAAATGAATGACAACGTACATCGCACTACCAAGCTTCACACACCTTTATCGTCATGGAAACAGCCATAAACACAATAGCAGCAAACCACCGGAACTCCATCGTCTTGGAAACGGTCATAAATATGACACTACAATTATGACACCGTCTGTTTTTGTTACGTTTTGCCACACAAAACACTTTGCTATGATTAGGCACAAAAAATTATTGGTTAGGTTTAGGCAAAAATGACTTTGAGAAAAACCACAATGTTGTGTTTAGGAACAAAAACTCTTGAAAAATTCAAGCAACACACTAGAATTGAACCAGGGTCTCCTGTGGTTTCCTGTGTTGTGTGTACCAAGTCATCCACCTCCTCTATATACTATACTGAACTGCAGCCACCATTTGACTTCTAGGTAAGTGCTTGAACAGCCCTCGAGGGGATACAGCCACACAGCATCTCACTGAGAAGTGTTCAGTCCACTTAAGTACACCCTGCTCAGGACCCAGGGTGAAGAAGTGGTGTTATGAATGCTTTAGTCAAAGCCAAATTGAAAAACAGTACCAAATAAGCTAGCAGAGGTTTCTGTAGGAAGTAAACATTCTGGCTTTGGCATATGAGTAAGTAAAGGGCACATGAACTTTACAGAAAATACAAGATAAATGCAGGGCTTAACTCAGAGGAGCAGATAATACATTTCAATTCACAGGAAGCAGATAGAGTTTGATTAGGCTAATAAAGATGAATCTTTGGTGTTTAACACCGGCATCATAAGACAAAACACAATAAAAGACTTACAAAGAAGGCACTGGATGGGTTTTAGACCAAAAAAAAACCCAGAGTGCTTCTGCAGAACATGTCATCTTCCTCTATTCTGCACACTGCATGGTGATAGGATAGGTGATAGGTGTAAGTGTGTACAGTCTCTAAAATAAAAACACTGACCACGGGGCTTGTTCCTCATAAAATTTCGAATACTCAAAAGTGGCATTGTTCCATCAAAAAAAAAAAAAACTTGTTTCCCTTTAAAGGTTCCCCTTACAACTCAAGCAACAGCTAGCAGCTATGAACTAATAGATCCCTGTGAGGCTGGAAAAAAAAAGGTCAGCCAGACAAGTTCTGCTAAGCATCCGTGGACGCTCAGTAGTGTGAACTGTGTGGTGAGGAGAGACATTTTAGATTTCTGAATTTATTTGTGAACTTGTCTGAAATCTCTGCCCAAGTCTCCCAGGAACAAAACATGGTGTAAATGCAAATACAGCATGCGGTCTGCACATGAAAAGGAAGAGAGCTTTCTCAGTCAGGTATTAGATGAGGTAGACACAATTAGAAGCAGTCTGGGATTTGAAATACAAGTAGATGATGGGTGGGCGTTTGCACCAAAACCAAACTATACTCTAGCCCAGGGTCTAAAGTGAAATGCTTATAGTGTGCCCAATAGAGTCTAAAACCCAATCCCCCAACACACACAAAATCAGAAAACTGCTAACATTTCCTAAAAACAAACAAAAAAATCTGACCACGAAGCCTGTGTTACGCATTGACTGGCCAGGTGCAGAAGCAGAGACAGTAGGCAGGACTTGTATGTCTCTCTCAAGCTCTCTTTTGTTCATCACACAGCTACTTCCTTCACGTTTCATGTGCACACCCAAGTGTAACACCATGGCTAAATCCCAGTTCGCTTAATTCCATCCACAATTCTCTCACTTAATGTCTTTTCTTGTCTTAGTTCCACCCACGTAAGATAAGAGGAAACACATTTTTAGAAGCAGCATTTTAAGTCTTTTATATGGTCGTTCTTCATACCAATACTCTTAGCAAGGAGGCTGTTGGAGGAGCCGTGATCGACAAGACAAGAGCGCATCCGTCGTGGAATTCTTGTACGGGCCGACACAACCCCTTTATCAGAAATCGGTTAGGGAGTGGATGCTTCAGATAAAGGATCGGTGGAAAGAACATCTCATGTCTCTTAAAACGTTTCCTCGATTCATCTCTAAGACACAACGAGGGAAACGTGGATGCAAATACTGTATGAGACATGAGATGTCCTTTCCTCCAATCCTTCATCTGAAGCGCAGAGGAAGAGTGGAGAGTTGACCCATAAAGGACTTCTGTGAAGGATGCTCTCCTGTATCCTTGTCCACATGTCCTCCAGGCAGTCATGACACTCAAGGTATCTCAAAACAAGTCGACAAAGTGGAAACTTGTGAAGCAGCTAAGTAGCATTTAGCCTCACTACCTAGACAGAACTCAGATGAAAATTAGTCATCGTATTAAACACTAGTTTATACAAGTTTGACTGTGGGAAAGTCAAGTCTGTGTGCCTCAGAGTTTTACCTGCATCTGAAAGATTATTTTAACTAATGTACTTTTAGTTACAACACTGTCATTAATACAAAGGTACTTATACAAATATTGATCTTGGACTATTTTTGAATCTGCTATAATATGAACATTCCAAACTTAGCCAATACCAGAAATAATATCTCACCGTGAAACACTGTGCTGTACTTTCTCACAGTGTCCCTGCAGATCAGACAAGAAAAAAATGTACTGCAGACAAGAACAAAGTCAGACTGGGGCAGTGACATCAGAAGTCACTTGTCCTGAGCTGAAGTGAGAAAAGTGAGCTCAAAGTATATGCACAGACTAAATCAACTGCATCTGTTTTCCTCACTAAATGACTCCCCCTCTGCTGCAGATCCACTCTGCTTTAGCCTCAGAAGGCAATGAGGTTATTGCTGTGTAGGATATCAGACTTCACCCTTTTGTAATTAAAACACCAGCGTCCGAGCTGTCTAGAGGATCCACTGCAACTTCATCACACGTTGAAACCCCAAAGTGCAGCTATTAATAAAAGCCTGACTGAATGGCTACCCAAGACCTTATAAGTGAGCACTTAAAGAGCCAACAAGGTTGAAGGAAAACTATCGAATAGAACAGTTTTATCCAATTTTGTCTGTTCATTTCTACCATCCATTTTGTAGCATAGTTTCTGGGCCAGTCAGCAAAACAAAACACAGAGGAGAGGAGGACAAGGCCGGTTATATATAGCATCTCTCTTTTAATTAATAGATGGGTGATTTATTGTTTTTTAATTCACTTTACCTGGACAAAAGCTTAAAATTCATGGGTTAAACCCTCCCTATATTAGCCCTAATCCGGCTGCTCTTCCAACATGATAACATAATGAAAGGCTTCCTCCTTTACTTCCACTGCTCACATTCTTTCCTTTCCCCACATCTGCCTTATTCTGTGACCTACATTCAACAGTAGTGCTGGGCATGCAGACACCGCTCCACTGACTGTGTTTGTGTCTGGGTGTGTTTGTTCTAAAATCAGTCATTTTAACCCCGCGCCT